AGATGACAAAATACATAATCAGCTTTGCTGATTTTTTTTTTCCCCGCAACTCCAAACCACTATTCTATACTCAACTGTGTAACACTAGGGCTGCGACTATGAAAACTACATATCTCCTTTGCAACCTGAATTTTTGTTAGGCTCCACTAATAGCAGGACTAGAAGATAAAGACATAAGGGCAGGAGAAGGAAAGAATCTTGCTGTTTCCTGTTTGCTTGTTATTCCTGCCAGCATTCCCAAAGCAACAGCTCTTCATTCCAATAGCGACACTTGGTTCGTCTCCAGCTTTTTCTCAGCATTCCCCATACCAGCCTCATCGTTCTCTATCTATACTACAACCACTTACCAGCGGCCCCTCCGCAAATGTCTGAGTCCTTGCTCTGCTGACGATCTCCCCAAAGTGTCTAGTAAATACAACCTCTTATCCTGTTCTCCTAGGCCTAGGGGTGATAGCTGCCACCTGAAGTTATGTTTCCTTTCTGCTTTTGTTTTTGTTCTCCAGTACCAATGTAACCTATTCCTTATATTACACTCTATTAAAAGTGTAATATGTTACATATTGTGGATTTTTAAGTTATTTTTTCTTTTTCACATTGGTCTTCAGAACATTGTAAATGATTTTTAAAAAACACGTCACTATTAAATCCCTAAGAGAATTTACTTCCAGTGACTAGCATCAGATGGCTTATGGAGCTGAGGCCAAAGCCACTGTCCACTTTCCATGGTGTTTGCTAAGATAAGGCCATTACCACCAGCACATCAACTAAATTTGAAAGTCTTCCATTAGAAGTGCTATACAAGGCCGGGCGCGGTGGCTCAAGCCTGTAATCCCAGCACTTTGGGAGGCCGAGGTGGGTGGATCACGAGGTCAAGAGATCGAGACCATCCTGGTCAACATGGTGAAACCCCGTCTCTACTAAAAATACAAAAAAAACATTAGCTGGGCATGGTGGCACGTGCCTGTAATCCCAGCTACTCAGGAGGCTGAGGCAGGAGAATTGCCTGAACCCAGGAGGCGGAGGTTGCGGTGAGCCGAGATCGCGCCATTGCACATTGCACTCCAGCCTGGGTAACATGAATGAAACTCCGTCTCAAAAAAAAAAAAAAAAAAAAAAAAAAAAAAAAAAAAAAAACAAACAAAAAAAAAAAAAAAAAAAAAAAAAAAAAAGAAGTGCTATACAAATTTCCTGCAATAAAGGATTAACTAAGCCAAGCACAGAAACTGTGATATTGTGATATATGTTTGGTCTCTGCTTCTGATTCCTGGCAAACAGCTCCTAAAACCCATGGCTCTCCAAGAGATGACTGGTGACTGGGATTCCTGGAGAGTCTGGGGGTCCAGGACTGGGGTGAGGGTTTGTCAGGGGAACCAACTGAGTGATTAGAAGGATGGAACTTTTGTCCCACCTTCGCCAACCACCCAGAGAGAGGGGTGAAGGGTAAAGGTTAAGATGATCACCATTGACCAATGATGTAATCAATCATGCCTACATAATGAGGCCTCCATTAAAACCAAAAAAACAGGTTTGGAAGGCTTCCTGATTGCTGGACTTTTTCCCCTACACCCTGCCCCATGCATCTCATCTAGCTGTTCATCTTTATAATAAAATACTTTATAACAAACCAATAGATGTGCTTTTTCTGAGTTCTGTGAGCAGCCTAGCAAATTAATAGACCCTGATAAGGGGGAACTGGGAATCCCCAATTATGGCCGGCCAGCCAGTCAGAAGCACAGATCACAACCTGGAGCTTGTGATTGACCCATCCACCTGGAAGACACTTTTATCTACCTCCATGTAGATAGTGTCACAGTTGAATTGAATCATGGAACACCTAGTTTTGTACACTCGAAAATCTAGTGTCAAATGTGTTTTGCTGAGTGACTGTAAACCAGTGTTTTTCAATATGAAGAAAAAAAAAGCTGGTCATCAGAGAAATGCAAATCAAAACTGCAATGAGATTCCATCTCACACCAGTCAGAATGGCAATTATTGAAAAAGTCAAGAAACAGATGCTGGTGAGGTTGTGGAGAAATAGGAACACTTTTACACTGTTGGTGGGAATGTAAATTAATTCAACCATTGTGGAAGACAGTGTGGCAAGTCCTCAAGGACCTAGAACCAGAAATACCATTTGACCCAGCAATCCCATTACTGGGTATACACCCAAAGGAATATAAATCATTTTATTATAAAGATACATGCACATAAATGTTCACTGCAGTACTATTCACAATAGCAAAGGCATGGAATCAACCCTAATGCCCATCAATGATAGACTGGATAAAGAAAATGTGGTACATATACACCATGGAATACTATGCAGCCATAAAAAGGAACAAGATCATGTCCTTTATATGGACATGAATGAAGCTGGAAACATTATCCTCAGCAAAGATTAAGATGATCACCAGTGACCAATGATGTGATCAGTCATGCCTACATAATAAAGCCTCCATTAAGACCCCAAAAAAAACAGGTTTGGAAGGTTTACCGATTGCTGGACCTTTCCCCTACACCCTGCCCTATGCATCTCATCTACCTGTTCATCTTTGTAATATCCTTTATAACAAACCAGTAGATGTGTTTTTTCTGAGTTCTGTGAGTAGCCTGGCAAATTAATAGACCCCGATAGATGCAGGAACAGAAAACGAAACACCGTATGTTCTGACTTATAAGTGGGAGCTACACAATGAGAACACATGGACACTGGGAGGGAAACCACACTGGGGCCTGTCAGGGGGTTGGGGGTAGGGTGTGTGGGGAGGGAGAGTATCAGAAAAAAATAGCTAATGCATGCTGGGCTTAATACTTTGATAATGGTTTGATAGTTGCAGCAAACGATCATGGCACACATTTACCTATATAACAAACTTGTACATCCTGTGCATGTATACTAGTACTTAAAGTAACCGCTGTTTTTCCTATCTCTTATATCAGTACATATTAAGAGCTTAAAAAATGTGTTTTTGATTTCATCCCCTATCCCAACTACCTACCCTAGTCTAAGAGCGGCTAATAGGCACATAGTTTCTTCAGAAAGCAGGCTCTATTAGCTTATAACAAAGGTGAAGGAAAAGATCTTAGCTGACAAATCTCAAGCTCTCAAAGCTCACAAGGAAACCAGAGTAGCAACGCACTAAGAAAGTTTAGCAGGTAACATAATTCTCTCACATCATAAAATGCCACTGCATGATAAGTAGGATTATAAGGATAAATATGACTAATGTCCATCTCCCTCTTTTTTACAAAAAAAATTCACTCTATTCTTAATATAGTCACCTACACTAGCCAATATTTCTTTCCTTTCCACTCTACAGTTACTGATTAAGAATACTGGAAGAAAGAATAATTCATGTATTACTGTAAGATAAGTCTTCCACAAACATAAAGAGCCTAGATGAGCACTCTTCCCTAATCCACAGTAAGAAACAAAGGTACTAGTGTCCCAAGGAGAAAGTATGTACATTAAGAAAAAAGACAGGATGTCTGTAAAGTGGCAAAAAATAGCTTTGTTGTTCCAATAAAGTCACAGAAGACTAGCAAAACTAAATTTACCTTTACTATTTTTCACTTTCCTGAAAATCAATGTATTTCATGATCAAGACAGAGACAACTCATCAGTGTGATAAAAAATTTTTAATTTCAAGGTCTACTTGTTGCCCTGAATATTATGACTATGACTATTGAATTTGTATTCAAAATTAAGTTTTACTCTAGTTAACTTGCTGATATCGTTTGTATATTTATCTCCATCCAAATATCATATTGAATTGTAATCTCCAGTACTGGAGGTGAGGCCTGGTGGGAGGTGATTAGATGTCCTCACAATAGTGAGTTCTCAAGAGATCTGGTGGTTTAAAAGTGCTTGGCATTTCTGGCACTTGCTCACTCCAGTTTTCACCATGTGATGTGCCTGCTCCCTCTGCCTTCTACTATGATTGTAGGCTTCCTGAGACCTCCCCAGAAGCAGCTGCTAGTACCATGCTTCCTGTAAAGCCTGCAGAATGATAAGCCAATTAAACATCTTTTCTTTATATAGTCTGGGGTATTTCTTCATAGCAGTACAAGAATGACCTAATATAGACTTATTTTCTAGATAACTGTTTCAAATGTCACTACTGCTATAGTATTCCCTACTGATTTTGTGTTAAATTTCTAGTGAACAACCCTTAATGTAACACTCTAAAAGGCTCACAACATTTAAAGTGCCTCAAACTATACTGTACTTTAAACTTAAAATTTAAAACAAGAATACTAAAGAAAGATTGCTGAAATAGACAACTCAATTCTCTTCCTGGGAAAGCCCATAACACCAAGTACTAGAATATGAGTGAAGGATTCATTCAGGTACTCTTTTTCTATGATCCATCTGCAAAACCACTTGCTTCCCCCTAACATACACTTCTACAAGGCAGAAGAGCCCATCAATATTTGAAAAGTCTGTCTCTACTCTTTCCTGGTGAATCATACAATGTTCCTTTATATAGGTAAAACATAGCCTTAAACTATTTCTGTGGCTTACAGTTTTCTATTTTCATCACTGTGACATTTAATTGAGTGATAATTATCTTAACAAATCAAAATTCTAAAATTTAAATCTCTCAGTCAAGAAGTTAGAGAATTCAAATTGTATTCATTAATTAGTTTAAGAAGGAAATATTCAGAAAAAAAAATTAACTTTCAAACTTACATTAATACCAAAAGAGTTAAGAGACATAACACACAAGTATAAATGGGTCTATCTGCACAATATTTATTCCCTCTAAACTCAAAGACAGGACTCTTAAAAAAGGAATTAGGCTCATATTGAGTCATCTTGTATTAAAACATAGAATGTCAAAATTTATGAAATGTTAGGTAATGGAAAAATGTGCCACTCTATTGCTATTTGTATTTGAATTTTTGTTTCAGAAACTAGTAAACGTATAAAGGGAAGATTTTAAAAATACACTCTTGAGGGTTAACAGACACTAGGAATAAAAACAAATTTACCAAACTTTAAAATACTAATAAAATAAGCATTTTATTAATGAAAGTCTGGAAAACATGTACACTAAAATAAAAGTGACTATTAATGTTAAAAAACCTTCAAAGAATACATATCACATGATTCAATTTTTAAAAACTTTATATAAAAGCTCTATCATAAATACAAAGCTAAACTATCTGAGTACTAACAATACTGTTCATACAAAGAAACTTAACAGTAGTAAAATACAAATACATAAGATGCTTATTTTTGGTCCTTTTGGAAAAAAGAACTAAGTTGGTTTCTTTTTTTCACATGGCTCCAGGCACAAAAATAGAATATAAGATGGTAACTGCAACATTCTTAGTGTTTATCCTTGTAATTCTTTAAATGTCACCAGTCATAATAGCAATGAACTCCTCCTGGTTTACTGTGGTAAGAAAGAAAACAAAACAATCAGAAATACAAATATTTTATTTTTTCAGAGTCTATGACTACTATTTTACGCTAAGTATTAAAAAAATTTTATATTATGCTAAATTATTACATCAAGATATGGCTTTTTGCTTTTACTTATTTGTTAGGAAGTGGAATATGTTTATTGAATTTAACTTCTTAAATGCAAAAATATATATGTGACAAACATTATAAATTAGTATTCTATAACATTAACTGGGAAAAAGACAATGTTACCAAAAAAGTTAATCACAGTCATATTTGTACATACTTGCTAAAACATTTTAAATGCTTGACATTTCAAAGTTCTTTAAACAATCCTCTTTATAATCTTTATTCTACTAGTTCATTTAGCAAATCCTTCCTTCACAAGCTTGAACATATCATGCATGTAAATTAGATTTCTAAAGAATGAAAATACATTAAAATTATAAAAAGTTAAATTATTATTTTTTGAACTTCTATATACTTAAAAGCCTATGTTAATGAATAATTAAAATTAGGTCACCATATCTCAAATGTATCAATAAAATGGCAATTTGAAAAGATTACAGATTTAATTTTAATCACCAAGGCAATCCAGCAACTATATAGATGTAAATGCAGAAAAAAATCACTGATATAAGGACTAATTTTCAGTTTGCCAAAATTATAAATACAATAAGAATCTCCAACTTATAAAACATAATGTTTAAGACAGCAACCTAGAAATAAGAAATCAGATAATTTTATTTAATACAATTTTGAAAAACCAATATATGCACACATATCAATTAATAAAAATGTTTGCAAGATACTTCTGCTAAGTATTCAGTATTTAGCCCTAAGACTTAATACATACTTAAGCAAAGTTATGAATGATAATTTTGATAATGGCAAAAGAAAACTATACTGAGACATAAGACCTGGTAGCTAGTCATAGCTCTGCACAGTACAGTTCTGCATCTCATTTCCTTTATCTGAAAACACGGAACTAGGAGATGATGTTTCAAATTGTTCAATTCTTATTTACCTTAGGTGGTATTATATGAAAATACTCTATTAAATCAAACATTTTTAAGTGGCTAGTAAATGACAACACCATACTAAGTGTTGTATAGTATATCAAAACAGTCACCAGGCTTCCTATTCTGGAATATATTAAAACTAAAATGAGAAAGATATTATATGATATTATAAAATTACTGGTAATTTTAAGTGTAACACTGATATCATAGTTATGAAAGATATATCATTTTCTTAAGTATAACATTGGTATCATAGTTATGAAGTATAACATTGGTATCATAGTTATGAAAGATGCTAAAACATTAAAGGATCAAGTTTTTTCTTGTTTTATTATTAAAATTTAATCTATTTATTTATTTAGAGACCACGTTATGAGACTAGCTAATTTTCGTATTTTTGGTAGAGACGAGGTTTCACCATGTTGCCAAGGCTGGCCTTGAATTCCTGGGCTCAAGCAATCCACCTGCCTCAGCCTCCCAAAGTGCTGGGATTATAGGCATGGGCCATGGTGCCTGGCTTAAAGGATCGAGTTCTTGATTTATGAAATTTATTTTCAAATGATTGAGAAAAAAATATACACACCATAAATAAAGCAAATGTGGTAATATACTAATTATTGAATTTAGGCAGAAGGTACAATGGTGTTCACTGTGCTGGTCTGACAATTTTTCTCTATGTTTGAAAATATTCATAATGAATAGTTAGAAAAAATTAACCAATTAAAAATTGTTGAGGAGATAAAACATGGTCATCGGGAATTAAAAGAATATACACTGTACAGGTTCCAGAAACCATACAGAAAACCAGTTTTGATAACTATGTTAGTCAGGTTTTATACCTGAAAAAGAACAAAGGTTTATAACAGAAAATACTATTTATTATTAAAATAAAGACCAGATTGGTGTTGAAAAAAGTCCTTCACAATGGTAAAAATAATTACACTGAGAAAAATTTAGGTAAAGATAAATCATTACTTGGGCTCTAAAATAAAAATACAGAAATTAGAAAGGAGGTAGAAAGAGAGCCGGGGTGGGGAGAATATCATCAGAAAGAGAATAGTGTATGCCTCACAGAAATAAGCTATGAGTTAGGAAAAATGCACTCTCCAGAAGCTGTCAGAGAACTATGAATCCATGCAATCAGTATTTAACATCCATAAAATACTATGTCAGACATGGTAAGAATGTAATACAAAATCTATAATACTCTCAAACTACTTTAAGAATCTTACAATTTGAAGTAGTGATATTTAACCTTTCCAGTATCTGAGTATCATATGAAAGCTATGATCCTTCTCTGTTTCCAATAAATAAAGTTCAAATATATAAAATTATTAATCAATTTAGCCAGTGTGCACCTTCATTGAAGCACCCCCAATTTAGACTGAGGCATACAGATCCAATAGGAAGCAAGAGTATGTTCTTAAGAACTATATTAAGAGGAAGAACATAAAACAGTCTTAGCATGATTTGATTACAGATCATTTTAACAGTGTAACACAACCATGATTAAAATATTCAAAATCCAAAAAGCACTTGTTACTTAAAGATCTAGAACTTTTTCTTGATCTGTAAAATTTTAATACTCAAATTTCAAATTTTAAGCTTCAATATAGAAGTTTGAAAATCACAAAACACTTCATTTTTATATTGTTTATAAACAAAACCTTTATAAAGCATTTCAAAAGTATTTTAAACTTTAGTCAGCCTTCTGTAACCAAAGGTTCCTCACATCTGCAGATACAACCAACTGCAGATGAAAATTAAGGGAAACCATACAAAAAAAATACAAATAAAACAATAAAGTATAACAACTATTTACATAGCATTTACATTATATTAGGTATTATAATTAATCTAGAGATGATTTAAGGTGTACAGGAGGATATGTGCAAGTTATATGCAAATACTATGCCATTTTATATAAGGGACTTGAGCACCATAGATTTTTGGCATCTTAGGCTACATGGAACCAATCTCCTGTGCTTATTAAGGGATAACTGAATTCCATGATTCATACCTAAAAACACAGTATTTAAACTCGAAAAAGTAAAAAGTAGAAAGTGGCTAAGGAAATTAAACTAGCTACTCTACTACCAGAGAGCCTTGTAGACAGTTAAAAGACAATCTTCTAAACCTTTGTACATTTGGTTTTATAACCTTCTCTATTAACAATCTCTTATATCCAGTTCCTATATCTAATAAATCTACCACAATACCTAGCTCAAAATAAGCATTTGGTAAAACATTTATTGAATCAAGAAAATATGACACTTTATTTCCTTTTATATTGCCTTCTTTAACAAAATTTTTCATAAATCAACGATTTCATAGAGTAAATCTTATTATAAGTTACTAACAATAAGAATTTTAGAGAACTAAGTAGATTAAGTACCTTAGAGACCATCTGGCTTTGAAGGGGAAAAGCAAATCTTAGAATTGGAAGTTCCAACTGAGTATGTTGCTAATACACTGCTTCCTATAATAGCATGCAATTTTTAAAACTCCATAAACATAGAAGTCTAGTTAATATTTTTCTTTATAGCCCAAGAGGCAATATAATATTATATTTAAAAGCACATTCTTTGTCATTACAGAGATTTGATTTTGAGTTCTGGCTCTGCCATGTAGTGTTAGCTTTGTGATAACGTGGGGCAGTTATTAATCTGTCAAAGCTTTAGTTTCCTTATCTATATGCATCTATTATATGCATATATAGGTATATTATAGCTACTTGACAAAGTTATTATGGAAATTAAGTGACATAATTCACAATGTATCATGCCAAGAAAAGATTCAATATAGTAACTGCTAAATAAATGTTAACAATCGTCTTCATTATTTAACAGATAATCCATTCTGGCTTTTCAAAATGTTCCTTTCAGTTTTTCAAAATGATGCGCTATGTTTCATTTTATATATGTTGGGGGTGGGCAGGTGACTCTGTATCATTACCACAGCTTTATGTCTATCTTGTAGTACATCTTATTTACCTTTAACTACATATTTACCATGTTTATTATTCTATATACCCAATTTATTTTAAATTTCATTGCTCTTAGATATTGAAAAGCATGAAAAATTCACGAAGACAGAAGAATACTAAAGTCCACAAAAAAGGCAGCAAGGTCTAATCTTTACCAGTTTAACATACAAATAAAGCGGTTTTTATCTCAACAAAACTTAAGTTTCCAGCCAAAAGAATTCACATTAAGTGAATGAAAGTATCAAAACAAGTTGTTTCTCTAAATACTATAGGCCCTCAATGGAAGTCTCATGATTCATACAGAGAGCATTATGGGAAGCCTTTGAAAAAAAGATGGTATTTAATATGTACCTGAGAGAATGAATCACATTTTAGTAGGCAGAAATTAACAATTAGAGCATTCTAAGATTAAGAAACAGCATGATTAAATGAACAGCAGAAAAATGTGTTTTCAGGAGAGTATTTCAACAAAATGTGTACCTATAGGAGGTAAGGGTTAAAGAAGAAAAGTGGAAGAATACACTAGGAAATAAAATTAATTACTTAGAGTGGGACAGATCATAGAAGGCTTTGAGCTTTACTCTGCAGGCTGTGAAGAATTGTTCCAACTGTTTAAACACGGAAATGGCATTATCAAATGTATATTTTAGGAAAAGAATGAAATCAAGAAACTGAAAAAGAGATTAGAGACTTTTATATGCCTAAAGGGCAATTAGGACACTGTAAGACACTGCAAAGTGAAAGCAGAAGCCACATCTGTTTTTTCATTGTGTAGCACCAGTCAACACACAGGACACTGCAGGCAGTAGACAACCAAGGTAAGAATAAATGAAGCCATTATAACATTCCTAATTAGATATTCGCGCCTGAACTAGGACAGCCACAGTGGACAAAGATAAAAACAGATTCAAAACATCTGAAGGGTAAAATCAATAGAACTTAGAACTTAATATTAGTTTAGAAGTACATGCAAGTTGAGGGAGGAGCCATTAAAGACTGAAATTTTATTGAAAGGCTGAAATCTTGATGATGTTTCATCTTCGGAGAAAGGCACAGTACCTTCTTGAAGTGTAATTGGTTTTACAGATCTGCTTCATTCTAAATTGAATATGTGAATTATTTAGACAGAAGGCCTATTACAAGAAGGGGTAAGTTTACAAAAAGTCTTGCAAGTTGTTTGGTTTCAGAAAAATGTATTACATGTGTAGCATCAGGAATACTTGGAAAACAGGTTTTGCTTAAAACTTACTTTCTCCATCACCATCTTTGTCAAATTCTTCTATCATAGCCCGAAGTTCTTCATCACTCATGTTTTCACCCAATTCTCTAGCAACACGTCGCAAATTCCTCAAGCTTATTTTACCTGAATCATCATCATCAAATAGTTTAAATGCCTTGAGTATTTCTTCATGGGGATCTCTTTCCAATATCCAGTCTGTCACTACAGTTTAAAAAAAAAATTTTAATAAACCTGCATAATCACAAAAGCATTCATTTGTGAAATCAACTAAATATTAGATGACAATTAAAGCTGTGACTTTCAACATTTAGTCTGACAATAAAATGTCAAATGAGATCCCAAAACCCTGAGATAAACCTGAAATTAGAAAAATCAAATCCATATTTTAAATTTTAACCTTTTTATTATGAGCAACTTGTCTTATTTAAAAAGTAAGCAAAACTGTGTCACAGAGAGGCAAAATAAAAAGGACTACATTTATACCATATTTATTTAAGATCTATTATCAAGAATTGTACTAGGCTCCACTGACATCAAGCACACACAGAGTGTGTCACTACTTGCAGAGAGACATACCAACAAAATAATTGGAGCTAACTAAATAAAACCTGCTTGCTGGCTAAACGTCATACTAACACTGATTGTTCCTCAAATTCAATCCAACTACAAAACAAGAAAAACTGCGAAAGACAAAACGTACTGCCATCACAGACACAGGCACAATCTCAAGACAGCAGATGAAAATACCTTCCACTAATACCTTCATGATTAGAAGAACCTCTTGGTTTTTCATAATGTGGAAAGTAGTAAATAGGATCAAATCTGATTATAGCAGGAAAGCTCACCTCAAAATCACCTCTGGAAAGAAGGTTTCCTTAAAGCTTACCCATTTTGTTTGGATAAATAACTCTCAGACACTAACTAAAAATAAATGTAATTTCAAACCTCAGTAGTAATAGTGGATTTTAATATACTAAATATAATCATATGTAATAACATAGTAATAAGCTTAAGTATTTTCAATTTTACCAGTCTTTAATCAATAGCTGCAATAAAAATTAAAATAAAAATCTGTGGCATAAAAATTGTTAAGTTACCAGAGAAAATTCTAACAATATTCAAATAAATATCTCTGAAGTAATTATATACACTGTCTGCCACTACAAGAAAAGGTATTTATGGCCTTTACTATGTTATTAAAAATAACTCAGTCCTGTTGAAGGTTACAGAAACCAATCAAATTCAATCAATTTGTAAAGTTTGAGTTAGAAAAATAATGTTTTAAGATGACCACTTTGGGCAATATAAAAAAAAAAAAAAAAAAAAAAAAAAAAAGCAACTGCTTATAGATGGAAAATACTGGAATGTTTAAGGAACCCAGAAAGAAAAAAATACAAACTCTCCAACAACTTATTGTTTTGCTGCTGTTTCATCCATATTTGGTTCAATAATCATCTATTCAAATGACTATTGTATCATCTATACATATTTTCAATAGTTTCCTTTTATCCATTAATTTTATCCAAAAAGGCTTCCAAGTAACTAATTGAAGTATATTACTGTAACTATGCAAATCATCAAAGCTCATAAATATTCAGTCAAAAAGGAGCTGGCATATCTACAGCCATAACACCAAAATAAAATACCACACTTAACTCTATGGCACATACTCAACTTATTTTGAATTTAGTCCCAACAAAAAAGCAGGACAAGGAAAAAAAGTGTTAAGAAATTTTCTTCACCAATTAAATAATTTACATGACAGGTGAACCAAAAAAGCAGCTTGCTGAAAGTATTAATGTACTTAAAGAAGCAACAGGGTGATTGGGGAACAGATGGGGCTCCAAGATGTATAAATTCTTATCCCACTGGTACTTTAATTGTGTTAGTTATTTCAGAGCTATGTGTCTATATATTCTTTTATCAATACTCTTTCTTAAAATGCAGCTTTTCTTGGGAATTATAAATGCCCATTCTTTTGGATAGCAAAACATTACCTAATATATAACTTTATGATGATTCTCTTCCATGCCTTCATGTTCTATTCTTGTTCCACAAGGTAGAATTTAAGAAATATATTTATTTTCAATGAAAATTATTAGTAAGCTGACATAGAGGCAGTTAAGGTGGGTTTCATTTATTGCACAAAACTCTACATTTTTGCCCATGTAACTGTATTTTCAAATGATTTTCAACTGTATTTTCAAATTACACATAGTATCAGAAATGTACTTCATCGAAATACTTTCTTAGACCTTTCATGTATAAAAATCACTTAAGAATACAGCAAATCTAAAAACACCACATTAAAAGTAAATTAAAAATCATTACGGGTAATGCTAGAAATATGGCTTTAACTGTATTTCTCACTGCCTTTTGGAAATTTCTATCCAAACATACCAGTTAGACATGTTGGACTCCAAACTCATTCCACTACCCCCATGGTAGCTGTAGCTGCCTCCCCTACCCCTAACCCCACCAAAAAATAACAGCATCATTTACAGCTAGATTCCAGATTTGAAAAGTATAAATCATTTTCAGTCCCATAAATTTAAACAGTGATTAGGTCCTATAGTACCGGGAATACCATTTTTTAATTTTTATTTATTTTTTTGAAACAAGGTCTCACTCTATTGCCCAGGTTGAAGGGTAATGGTGTGATCCAAGCTTACTGCAACCTCAACTCCTGGGCTAAAGCAATCTTCCCACCTCAGCCTCCAAAGCAGCTGGGACTATAGGCATGTGCCATCATGTCCGGCTAATTTTTTAAAATTTTTGTAGAAACAGGATCTTACTTTGTTGCCCTGGCTGGTTTCAAGCTCTTACGAGCAAGCAATCCTCCCACCCTTGACCCCAAAGTGCTGTGATTACAGGCATGAACCACCAAGCCCAGACTCTTTTTTATTCTTAAATGTGTTCCTTTTATTTTCATCCTCACCATCCTCAGCATAAAAAATAGTATTTTCTATCTGCAGTCTCTCTTCCTTCCAACTCATCGTCAATAATACTCTTATCAGTATTCTTTCTCAAACATATCACATCCCCTTCCTTAAAAATTGTCAATGCTCCTCCGCTGACTAAAATTCAAAATCTTTATGTTTTATAAGACTTTACCAATCTGGCCCAATCCTACCTTTCATTTCCCTTTCATCTAGCTCAAAGACTACCTGGTTTCCCAAACATGCTATACTTCTAGTACCATTCTTTGTTGTTGCTGCTTTCTAAGCCTAGAGTGCTTTTTCTCTTAATTCTCCTGGCAATTTTGGAATGAAATCCTACTCACATTTCCAAAGGCCTAAATTTAAAATCTCCTCTGCAAAGTCTTCAATTCCTCTAGATGAGGGATTAACAAATCTTTCCTGTAAAAGGCCAGATAGTAAATATTTCAGGCTTTGCAGAGGACCATAAAGTTTCTAACTACTCACTCTGCCATAGTAGCACAAAAGCTGCATAAAAGAATGGGTGTGGTGGTGTACAAGCAGCAGCTGAATTTGGTCCAAAGGCTATAGTTGCTGACTTCTGTCCTAGACAAAATTACAATTTACCACATAGTACTATAGCCTGTTGCCACCTATGTTTACATTGTAAGCTCCCTGAAAGAACATCTTAGTAACTCTTAATTAAGTCTCCTTCCCAACCCCAGTACAGTACCTAACAAAAAATTCAGTGTTAAATAAACAAAATGAAGACAATAATACAGTATTATTATCTGAACTGGCAGTAATAAGTAGTACATGTCAAAAAGAGCATACAAACGTTTGACTTACGTTGGTCTTAAAGACAGTCTTTCCTAAAGCATCTGTTGCTGCTCACTAGCCTCAGGTTGTCTTGACTCTAAACTAACATTAAATATATTTTAACGCTTTTTTTCAGTACTAGGAAGAATCTATAGTAGCTAAGTGCCAAACTTCATCTAGATATATTTTGGAACAGTAACCTTAGGTAGTTCATAAAACTAGGACTCAAATGTTCTGAATTAGAATCAGTCATTAATTAAAAATAATCAACAAAAGTGGGAATACACAGTTCTTGACTGACTGATTCCCAAACATTAATAAACTTTTATTTGACACCCGGTACTCTCCATAGGTAGCCTTAAAATAGCTAAGATAAGTGTTGACAAAAGGTTAATCTTTGAGTGTCAAAGCTGAGGTTTTGCCACACCTATTTATTCTACAAGGAACCCAGCATTTCTGCTCTGTTAATAACATAGAACAGATGGGTGTCAGGAAAAAGTGAAGGTGGCATGGGATTCTGGTCCCAACTGCCAATAAAAATCACAACTTTTAAATTGTATTCATTTAAGATAAAATAACATATTTTGTAAAATTATTAATGATGACATAGTGTTTAAAATAGCCTTCATGAAAAAAGTTCAATAAAAAATATGCAAAGAGTATATTTTATGTCCCAGTGATACATATGTGATTATTTCAAGCCCCTGAAACAAAGACAATTTTTTAAAGTAATAATAGTAGCAAATGCTTAGTAGCACTTACAACATGCTAGGCCTTTTCTAAGAACTTTATGTAACATTAACTTATTTAATCCTCACAAGAATTTTATGAGAGAGTATAATGATCCCTGTTTTATAGTTGAAAATGAAGCACAAAGTATTAAAATGACCAAGTTCCAGAGCTATAAAGTGGCAAAACCAAGGTATAAACCTAGGGAATCTGGTTCCAAGTGCTAAACCACTACACTGTACTAAACATACCTGCATTATAGCTCCTTCCTAATAGTATCATTTCCACTGTATCCTGATACCTTGTTTCTACAAATAAACAATCTAAGGTAAAACTAGGAATACTGTGATCATAAACCTCAGGAGAGTGTCCATTCTGAGAGAACAAAAGGTGGCTCTCTCCCTCTCCTCAAATAAGTAATTCTATAAATTAGAGGAAAAAAAAGAAAATGCTCCCTAAACGGACAAGTAGCTTTTCTAAATAGTCATATGTTAGTTCCTAAGTTGAGTATCTTCTATGTTGTGTTTTTTTTTTTTTTTTTTTAGGTTTATGATTTCTTGTCCATCTCAACTGCTTTTGATGTGAGCTTTTGGATTTAAAAATCTGACTAATGACATGAATACAAACTTTCTCTGCGTCTACTAATTGCCATTTCTTTTTGCTTCCCATATTGCTTCTTGATGAATATTTAAAATAAGTGGTTTGTGTACATAACAGTTTCCAAATTTTTTAAGTATCTTAAAATATTTATATGATGTGCTTATATCGTGACCCACTGGTTTAGAAAAAAAATAATAGAAATAAACCTGAATACTTACACATTTTGTAGATAATATTCTGGGCAATATATTTAGGTCATAATAGCAAAGTACTTGCCTTCCAGAATCTTCTATTTTGAAAAAACCTAGTCTATATATGCTATAAATAATTTACTAAAATCAACTATATAAAAATTTAGCCATATTAAGCCTATGACACATTTTCTTCAGGTGGTTCTAGGATGTTTTCTCCTGCTTCCAGTATGTCCACTGCTCCTTTACTACAACCCTTTCCCCAATCCTAACTCTAAATAGATGACTTTTTCCACTGAGATAAAGGTCATCCAGAGGATGTAGCCTCTTATCAACTTTATCAACCTGAAGTCATGCATTTCATCTACAGCTAAAGATGCCAACTGCTACCAGTTCCCCTTGTCCCACTTAGCCAACAAAAATCACATACCAGAAAGATCTTGGGAAACTTTTTCCAAATAGCAGGATATCAAATTTTCTGTTTCACTAAACAAAAATAATTTTTTGACCACCCTTCGAGTTTTATCACATAATATAAATACACATAACTTGGAAAAGCATCTTTCCATAAAAAGCTAAACAATAGTTCCCTGGTTAGAATATCCGGAACAAAACAAAACTACAAATCTCAGAGCAAAGCCATAAATATTTTTCTCTGAAAATAAAAGTTAAAAAAATACAAACAAAACTGAGTAAGAGTCACATTATACACCAGTGTTCTATAAGAAAATTCCATAACCTAGAGAATTTAAAATAAAAAAACTGATATTAATCAGACAATTTCCTAACAGCTGCTGATTACAAAGACTATTAAAATACACACCAACTTCATTAAAATCTTCAAAGGTGATTTTCCCTGTGGCTTCTCTGTCATAATCTTTAAGAATCTTCAGTACATCAGCCTTTTTTACATCAAACCCCAAGGCTCTCATTGCCACCTTTTGGATTAAAAGGGAAAAGCAAATTATGAAGCACTCTTTACTAAAGAATTTCTAATTCTTAAGTTTTTACATCTTAAGAGATCACACATGAGTAAAATATAACTCTTTTGTATCTTTTATCTCTCTAAAATAGCAAAGTAACAGTGTAATTGTTCTTCAGTATTGAAGTTAAGTATGTTTTTTCATGTATAAATTGCATTTTTACATGACAAAGTAACTAACAAGTGTTTACAAATTTTACTATATAAAATACACTAACTTACTGCACAGATAATTTGATTGTTATTTGTTCTCAAGGGATTAACAACCAAAATGAGAAGGCATGGCATTATATTAAACAGTTATATGACAGAAGAGATAAAATATTAAAATAAGAATTATCATCGGTCTCTCCATGATTAGTTATCATGTAAATGATAGGGCTAAGGACCCTGAGTTTAGAGGAGAAAAAAAGAGATTTTGTTGCTAGTAACAAGGAAGGAGACATGTTACTGACTAGAGAAGTCTTATTTGGAAAGATTCAAGTTGTTCCTTGAATGATAGATGAAAAGGAGCAGCAGGGCATTTGGGAAGGATGACTGGGATTAAATGGGACACTGAAATGAAGGTTTGAGGGACAGTGAACAGAGCAGTTTACGTCACCTGAATTAGAAGAGTCCGGATGAAGAAAGCAATTAGCAATGAAAAAAAGTAGTTGGTGGCAAAAGCGTAGAGAACATTCAGTAGAAAGCAAAGAAATCTGAATTTTAAGTAGTGTGTAATGAGGAGTCATTAATAGTAAAGGTTTATGAGCAATGAACAATTTATGAGCAATGGTGAAATAATTTTTAAACTATCTAAATTCAATGGCAGTGTACAAGATGAACTAGAGGTAGAGAAATCATTTAGGAAGCTCCAGTATAAAATAAGGTCCCAAACCAAGAGAGTCAATGGTTACAAATGGAACAGACATTATTACACTATAAAGGAAGAATTGATCAAATCTGGGTAACCCCCCAAAAAAAACCCAGCACGTAAAGAGAGCTAAAGAGGACCGCAAGATTTAGAAAGCTAGACTTACAGGCCTATTAAGTGCTTTTATATATTCTATCCTGTCACTTTATAGTTCCTACCCCTTCTTGGATTCTTATGCTTAAAAATTCCTTGCAAAATGGGAAAAATTAAAACACATACTTATATTCACCTATCCATTAAGGCTATTAAAAATCTGAAAATGCTATCTTTCCCACTGTGCTAAAAGTCCATTCTACCCTAAACCCAAATCTCTCCCCATACCCTGACAAATATAATTTACAAATCTCTCCCCACACCTTGACATTCTAGGTCTTAAAGTTGACATTTTTACTCATCAGCATATGTCAACATCAAACAGCACTTAAGTTTGCACCAGAGAAAGTGGATTGAGACTATGTTACTTAACAAATCCAATTTATAAGATTAAAAGACAACGCTCCCTCAATCTGAAAACAGTGAGTCACCAAAAAACAAAACAAAAACAAAAACAAAAAACAGTGAAAAGAATATGGTAAGAATAGTTTAAATTCCAGTTTGAAATCCTTTAATTATGTCAGTGAAAAATAAGCACCTTCCCTAGGAATGTATTTTTACATTTAAAATACTATTTATTTTATCATGTAAAAAAGACTTTCTAAAAACTATGTTAGGGGTTCTGTTCGGTTTTATTATAGCATCTAACTAGGAATGCTTAAAATGCCTTCATAGTTCCAAACCAGTTTAGTTAAAATAATTATTTAGAAATGTAATGTAAAGCAACTGTCAAAATGCAAATCATTTTAACACAAAAACAAATATTTTAAAGTATACCATTACCTTTAATTCATGATAATCTATTGCTTCATCTTTGTCTGTATCAAATAGTTCAAAAGCATCTTTAATTTCTTGTTTCTGTTCCTCAGACAATTCTCTTCTTTTTTTCCTCTTTGTTTTGTCTACTACAAGCTCGCTTCTATGAAATGGAAAGAAAAAAGTTCTTAAAGGAGAATTAAAGTCTACTTTAATTCTCTTTGCTAACAGAAATTAGCCAATAATTATTTTCTAAATTTCAAAAAATAAAGTACTTTGGAGAAAAATAGGGAAACTTTCCCTTTATGAGTCAATGCCCTGTTTCCTCCATAATCTAAATTGCTATAAATCTGAACTTCCCAAAACTAAAGATTGTTAAGGATTAGTAAAATAAATGAGGACCATACTTTTCCTTTTCCCAGCTTTTTATTTATTCCCACTTTTCCCAGCTTTTTATTTATTCCCACTAATGTTATTATGGAAGAAACAAGAATTGTGAATAAGTAACATTGCTTTTATGTCTGAAGCTCCAGCCAACTCTAACCAAAAAAAAAAAATACTCACATTATTCTAAAAGAGTGTTAAAGAAAAATAACTCCAACGAAACCAAAATTCATAGTTGACAGTCACTATATATCGGTTTACTTTTGATAGTTCTTATAATTAAGTTAGTAAAATTACTACAAAAAAATACAACTGAATTAACTTAGTATTTTAGCACTGTTGGTTAAAAATGTCTTTAGATTACACCTTTCTAATAGTTTGGCAACTTGTCATTTTCTCCATTGATATTAACAAATCATTCAAAATATTAATGAGTCTAAACATGACAAATAATAGATGCCAAAAAATATACAATATTTGTGCTTCATTCTATATAAAAATGTGAAGAGTCTTGTCTCACTTAACATGTAAACTGGAGGTTAAACTTCTCATAACAAACTCTGGAAAGCCTTAAGGAAAAAAAGTAATTTTTTTAAAGCCAGAAATATTTTCCTTAAGAGCTGCCCATCTAAATATGCTCCAAATTTTCACAGGGGGATGCAACACTGGTATAAGAACAAGTTTTTAAACCTATAATTCGATAACACATTATCACGTAAAAACCAGTTGACTCTATTTAAAACACGTATCTAGTTGCATTTGAAAGTCATTTTGGTCTCTTGAAAGCCATTTTGGTCTCCTGAAAGCCCGGGGGAAAAAAAAGGCCAGGAAGCGACCAGTAGGTGCAGTATGACAAAGGTGAGGAAGCTTCCTTTCATGAAACCTGACTTGCCACAAACTTGGGTATTCCTGGGGTCAGTTATTTCCTTCCCGACACTTTTAGAGGCCAAGTCCAGAACCGACCCACCCCTGACCCCACCCAAGGGTACCACGATTATCCCTTAGCAGAGTATGGAACATTTTTAGAGTGTCCTAAGTATATGGTTTTACAGTACTTCTACAAATGGGGAGAGGGCAACATACAGAGGGTTAGAGGTTAGAACTGAAAGGCAAAGAAATGCAAGAAACTGAGGAAATCCAAGAGACAGTTTGCCAATTAAGTTCGCTAAAATGGGTCTCCAACTACACCGTAAGGCAAGGCCCTGAGAAATGAGGAAGGAGTTTTGTGTTATTGCCAAAATTCATAGGTGGGTGATTTGCATTAGCAGCCTAGCAGCCGAGCAGCCGAGGCGGGGCCCTGACCAGCTACACGAATTAAATGAAGGGATGTTCCGCGGCCTGATCTCTCACAGCAACGAGTAAAAGCCTCGCGATATTTCATTCCCCCCGCGGTCGCAGCTAAGCCCATCTTTTTGGCAGTCCAAAGCCCTACGCGCTGACAGAAATAACTTCCTCAGTAGAAATGCACTGGGCTCGATCCCTGCAAGGCACCAGGAACCCAAAGGGTGATTGGTCCGGGTAGGCTACCCTAGGCTCCTTTCCCGCGTCCCAAAACTGCATCCCCTACCTCGCCTCGGCCCCAAACGGCCTCCCTTCCACACCCTCCCTGCGCCCCGCTCCGGGGTGTGGAGAACACTGCCGCCTCTTTATTACCGACCTCAGAGCTAAACTCATTATCTCTTCGGACAGAGGCTTTCCTCTCAAGAACGATTTCAACCCCCTACCCAAGACAGCAAGACTCCCACAGCCGTCCAACAGACACGAACGACCTTAGCGGCCTCAGGGACCGCCCACAACATAGACACTTTTGAGCTGAATTGGTTGAAAAATCGCTACGGTTCTGCCTATTAGGGAGGAAGCTTCACAATTCTCTGTTTTCATTGGGTAGGTTTTACGTCAATCAAAGAAAAATTTTTCTGTCCTTCACCCCCCCATTTCTAGGGCCGCTCTCGCCCTTCGGATTGGCCCGATGCCTTTTTCCCCGAATCCTTTGCGTGTCCGGCCTCTGATCCCTGCGTGGAGGTTCCGGCGGTGGGTGGGTGCTCCTCGTGTCTCGCGTGAAGCGCTGCGGTCGGTGGGGCCGGCGTTCGGAAACTGGACTGACAGCTCCGACGGAGGGAAGGGAAGGGACACGCTGCAGACCACCCTCCGGCTAGGAGGGAGTAGCTGAGGAACAGGATCTGCGAAACTTGGCTCTGTTCTGTTCTAAAACTTTGGATGACCTCAGTACCTGTGGAAAGTGTTTAAAATGCAGATTTAAATGCCCCTTTCACCATTCTAATTTAAGTAGGTATGAATCTTCGTTTTTACCCCTCACAAGCCTTCCAGGTGGTTCTGAGGCACGTATTGTGACTATACTTGGATTATCACAGGGTTAGATTATTAGGCTATTTATGGTGAAGCTGTATCTAAACCGCCTTTCCATCTCTGTTTCTTCCTTTGAACTGTTTAAAACGTATTTGTTCGTTTCTCTCTCTTATTTTACAGCGCTGTAAGCTGTTTATATACATGAGACTGTCTTCACCACCAAACCAAGTCTCTTGAAGCTCACTTGAATGTCTTCTTATTCATCTCTCTTACTAGGTTCAATTTCTTGAAGGCCATGATTATTATCTGTTTAAGGCTTTTCCTTGTACCTAATAAAATGGTGCTTAGGTGCTCTGTAAATTGAGTGGAATCTTTTGAAAACCTACAAAATACTCAGCTAAACAGCAGATCTCATAAACGTGAATAAAATAGCCTGAGGGTGGGAGTTGAAGGCAGAGGATATATAAACATTACATGTTTAAGGGATGGATATAATGGTTTAGAGAAGGGAGAGAATACAAAATAGGCTTCTTAAAGGTGGTGGCATAACTATTAGACCTAGAAGGATGAGCTAAATTTGCATAAGTAAAGATAGTATGATAGAACAATCTAAAAATTAGCTAAGGGTTAGCACCCCTAAAAAACAAAGTGAAACTTTTATTTTGTTCGTACTCTAAATATTAAGGTACTTTTATAAATCGCCTTTGAGTTCTAAAAGAAAAGAGAAGTTGCAGTTACTAGAACCTAATGACATTGAAAAAAACTATATGTTAAAATTTTAAGATACAGACCAAGCTATAGGAGAACATTATTTTAAAGAAGAAAGGATAAAAATAGACCAAGCATTTATCTGAAGATGTTAGAAATAAGAAAATTGTATAATTGAAATTAGGAAGAGGAAATTAGTAAAGATAAAGTTTGAGAACAATGTTTAAAAGGAAATTGTTCAAATTGATAAAGTACTCAATCTAGTATAAAGCTGGTTTTTGGCAATAACAGTGAAATTCCAAGACTTACAGGAAGTGTAACAAGAAAAGGAATAGTGCCACTAGAAAGGTTGGTAATTTAATAAAAGGGAGGTTTAAAAATTATTAAAATATTTTATACAATTTCATGCCACCAATAAATATTAATACAAAATGACATAGTCACTTTTCAAGGAAAACATAACTCAAAAAAGATGGAAAAGTGAATTAAGTCAATAACTACAGACAGGACTGAAAAAAATGCTAAAGTTCTGTACCTTCAGATAAAAAGCCTCCAGCCCACTCAGATTAATGGCTGAATTTTTAAAAATCTTAAGTGCTAAATCTTGTGCTTTAAACCCAAGTCATAGAAAATGATGGAGAGCTTATTGTCTTACTTTTTGAAGCTAGCATAATCTTTAACATCCTGAAAGAACATTTAAAGTCAGTGTAAGCTCCGTGGGGATAACGAAGGCTATGCATGTTGCTCACTATCGTATCCCTAGTGCCTGGCTCATATTTGATGTTCATTTGTGAAAATAAGTGCAAAAATCCTAGATGTTGGCAAAATCAGTTTGATGCTGTCTTAAAGGAACAATTTCTCTATAACCAAATTGAGTTTATTTTTTTAAGTGCAAAGGCAATTCAAAATATAAATCCATGTTAAATAATTATAGTATTAGGTTAAGGAAATCCCAATGTCAAAAAGGCACTGAATAATGTGCAACACGTTTTCTACTAAAGTGTAAATAAAGTGGGTTTAGAAAATGCTTTTTTTAATATCAACAAACTACTTGAAACACCAGTGTTTCTCAAGCCTCATTCCTGGAACACTAGAATTATGTGTGATGCTTTTGGTCTCAAAGAGAGTTAGTTTCATAGGAAAATAATTTGGGAAAACAGACTTTAAAATGTTTTCAATAGAGTATTTTCTTAAGAGAGTGACAGGGAATTTACATGCATCACTTATGTTTAATTAGTGAGAACCAGTGATGACCACTTCTTGCTGTAAGGGAGGTTGAGACAAGAAATCTCTAGATGGAAAACTGCTCTGCTGAAACTTGGGGTCTGATCATCTATTACTAAAGATAAGACAGGTGATTAGCAGCTCTGCCACAAATACCATTAAAGCAGTTATTAATATTATCCTTGAAATTCTCATCAGTTATTCCACAAAACAAGAAAAAGAAGTGACATATAAAATTAACATTATGTATAGATGATTTCAGTAAAGCAGCTGTTGACCAGACAGATTTGCAAAATCAAACATTTACAAAATATAATAAAATGATTAATAATAACAATATGATCTTCCTAGAAATAAATGTAACAGGAAATCTGTAGAATCAGTAGGTAGAAAAACAACAAAGCTCTACTAAAGAACATGAGATTTAAGTAAATTGAGAGAGAAGCTATACTAGATGGGAAAATTTGGTATTGTAACTAATTTTATTTTAAATTTGTAAATTTGATGTGATCAAAATTTAAATATTCATATTTTTCTTGAACAAAATTATTCCAAAGATCATCTCAACAACAATTGCATAAAAATAACTTACTAAATTTTGAAAAAGAATAATAATACAAAAATTGCTGTATGGGACACTAAAATGTATTTGGTGCTGTGGTAATCAGACCAGAAATTCCAGAGACAGACAAATGTAAATAAAAGTTTCTGCTTTGAGGAGGTAGTTACATGAGTATTTGTTTAGTCTGCCTCCTAAAGCCTTAATAAAGCAAGAGTTACTTTGCCACCTAGGCTGGAGCACAGTGCCATAGTTCACTGTAACCTCGAACTCACGGGTTCAAATGATTCTCCCACCTCAGCCTCCTGAAAAGTTAGGACTACAGAAACATGCCACTATGCTTAGCTAAATTTTTTTTTTAATTTTACACTGTGTTGCTATGTTGCCCAGGCTGGTCTAGAACTCCTGGTCTCAAGTGATCCTCCAGCCTCAGGCTCCCAAAGTGTTGAAAGAATACAGAAATTAGCTCCAGTGTCCAATAAATTAATTTCTAAAGCTGAAGTGACCTGGAGAGAGAACATCAGCAGACTAAGTATTTCAAAAAATATTGGAAAGATCAAAAGAAATATGGAAACTTGTTGACAAATGAAACAGATTCCAGAAGTGACATGTCAGAATTTTCAGGAGGTGACTAATGTTTCACAGACAGTTTATCTGCCTAGCAGAGTCCCAGAGAGACTCCAAGAGTAGAGATCTCTTGTACAGTAGAAGATGGAAGTGAGACGGGAGCTAAATACAAAATGTCAATTTAAAACCTCTTCAGAAACCACTGCACTTCAGTTCCTCTAGTTTCCTCTCCTCAGTGTTCTGTCTCTTTACATCTATGTAGAACCCCACTCTATTTTTTTCTTTTTTGTAAGAGACAGGGGTTGTCTTTGATGCTCAGGCTGAAATGCAGTGGCATGATCATAGATCATAGCTCATTGCAACCCCACTCAACCTCCTGTGTTCAAAGAATCCTCCCACCTTGCGTTTTGGTCTCCTGAAGTGCTAGGATTACAAGCATGAGCTACTGCAACTAGCCCTAATCTTAATAATGAATGAAGAATGAAAAACCATCGGAGATATGAAGAAAATCAACAGCATGAAAGATAAAACTAACAAAGCTATTTCAGGAAAACTCTGAGTCAGCCAAGGAAGTCAAATAATAAGAAATTAATAAGCTTCCTAAGAAGTACTCAAGAAAATATTAGAGAACAGAATACTCTGAAAAAGGAGCATTCAGAGAATAAGAAAAAAACTGTTGAAAATAAACATATGAATGTAAAAATTAAAATTTTAATAAAATGGCAATTTAATTGAAAAAATACCGCAAAACCTGCGATATTCAAACAAAGACATGGAGAATTTGGGGGAAAAAAACCATGGAGGATTAATTCATTATTTGACTAACAAGAATTTCTGAAAGAGAGAGCAACAAATGGAGGAGGAGGAGGAGAAAAATATCAGACACCGAAAAGATGTTTCAAGGAACTGAAGATAAATACAGGTCTCCAAATTGATAGAACACACTTAGTGCTGATCAAAATAATGGTAAAAGAACCACGCCTAGCCACATAAAGAAGACATTTCAGAGCATCAAAAAGGAAAAGGCCTAAAAGCTTCCAGAGGCAAGAATCTGACCTTTTATAAAAGAATAAGAATTGAGCTAGTATCAGATTTCTCATCAGAAACTTTAGATACCAAAAGACAATTCCTTCAAAACTGTAAGTGAAAATTATTTTGAACTTAGAATTCTATTTCCTGTCAGAACAAAAATCAAGTGTGAGTACATAATAAAGATTTCAGAAAGTTCAGTCATCATATACTCTGTCTGAAAATGTACTCCAGAAAAGTAAGAATGAAATCCAAAAATACGATAAATGCAAAATACAAGAGTGTGGCAGGCAGAATGACCCACCAAACATGTCCATGTCCAAATCCTGGAAATTTATTAATGTTACGTTACATGGAAAAAGGAACTTTGTAGATGTAATTAAGGTTATCAACCTTAAAATAGGGGGTTATCCTGGAT